TATATACAATTACTTCTATGAATATTGGTGACATTTAGGCATAAGAACATATGCATTAAAAAACTTACTTCCTGTTCATGTAAGCAATTATAAAATAGGGAGTAAAAACTAACGGAATATAATAATATAGCAAGGACATGCAATTATCCTTGCGGCAACTGCATTAAGCCGCTTGACGCTCACTGCAAGAAGTTGCAACCTGCCTACCTATGTACATATGTATATTCCTAAGTATATTATAAGGAARTGCAAGCAACGACAAATCCTTAGGAGTCCACAAATTGGCACGTTCGCGTGTTTGYCGTTATGATAAGGAGTGTGGTCTGTCGCCACTGGGAATGAAAATCAGAGAAAATTAAATCGAGAAGTAAGGATTGGCAAACCTCTGGAGAAACCGAAATTAGAATTAAAAAAACTGGAAATTGAGAGAAACAACAACCGCATTAATTTGGTAAAGGTTTCAAAAGCCTTGGGGCCAATGCTTTATCTCATTCCAAAAACTGGTAATAACCATACACTCTAATAATGATCTGAACTGAAATCACCTACACTCTTCAACTCAACTCTTGTACAACCGAACATGATGAGTCTTATAATTTTTTCTCTGTTACATATAGTTTAAGACTGGTACTTATGCAACAATTGAAAATTTGAAGAACTTCATTTTTAACGAAACAAGAAGAAAATTTTCCTAAGCAAATAGGGAAATATCTGCGGACCAGTATTRAGATCATTAACAGAAAGCTCCAATTTTGCTATGACTGAGATTGAGAAGTCGAAATGCAGTGTGTTTGTTCAAACTTTTTTTGGAAAATAGTGGAAGAAGAGCTATTCTCATATTCGGCATGAGATAAGAAAGTCATACAAGATGGGAATTGAATTCGGACATTTTTATATGTATGCTGGGGTTATTTCTACATATYTTGAGAATAAGCAGTAAATTTTTAGAAGAAGTGTCCTAACTGGACACTGTCTCATTGACACGGGTTGTGGCTAAAGATTTTAGTGGAACATCTTGTCAAAGTTGCAATGAGGAAGATGAAGTGGGAACATCTGRATACTTACTCCTCCACTGTTCAGCTTTCGCCAAACTAGAGTTGAAGCATTTTGGCTGGAATTGATATTAGTCGCCTTAATAAATTTTTGGCAGGCTCTAGGCGTCCAGCTGCAAGCGAAACCATTGGTTTTCGTAAAAGTGGAAGGAACAGCTGGTACGATGAACAGAGAAAGCAGACAGCCTACCTCGTTATATTAGGTTGTCAAAAAAGTTTTGCGGTATTTTTTTATTGAGTTTTCAATTGTTCATAAAATTTTTTTTGATGACTCATGCCCAGCTCTTGACCGATGCTACGGCTGCTACTATGCTTGAGATGCATTTTTGCCTTTATCGTAGTAGTACTGTAAAATATGCCGTATTTTCTTTTTATTTTGCTCCATGTTTGCGACGCTATAACTCATGAATGACTTAAAAGAAACGACAATCAATCAAACACTTGTTAGCGCGTGAAATGTGCTTTCCAAAAAGTTATAGCATGACCCGATGCGATAAATAAAACTAGAACTACGCGCTCTCAGCGCAACTAGGGAAAATACCGCAAGACTTCTTTGACAACCTAATATTGTGATCGGCTACGAGAGGGGTTGAATAGATACCGATATTTGAAAAGTTGTCTCGCTCCATATGCGGTGAGCGCAAAAAAAAAGAACAAAAACGGGAAAGACCGAAATCCTTGAGTATGAAGAGCTTGAGAAGCTGGCCGACAGGGGTAATGCTCGAAAATTGTACAAAAAGTTGCGGCGCCTAACGGAAGGTTTCAAAACCGGAGTATACTCTTGTACGACCCAAATTGTAAATCCAGTAGCTGATATTGAGAGCATACTGAAGTTATGGAGTAAACACTTCACCAACCTGTTGAACGGCAGTGAAAGTGTAACATCTGGAGATGGCGAACCCGATTCCCCAATCGATAACGATAGAGTCAATGTTTCATTCTCCGCTTATGATGAGGCTTGAATAACAATTACCCACCTGAAGAACAACAAATCGGTGGATTTCCGGCCGAGCTATTAAAATACKGCAGCGAAGTACCAATATGGTGTATGCATCAGCTTCTTCGCTAGATATGGTCGAATGAAAGCATGCACAACGATTGGAACCTAAGTGTACTCTGACCAATCCATAAAAAGGGGGATTCTACAATCTACGCCAATTACCGTGAGATAAGCCTTCTCGATATCGCATATAAGATCTTATTGGGCATAGTGTGGGAAAGACTAAAGCCCATTGTCAACAATCTGATTAGACCTTATCAGTATGGCTTTAGAACTGTAAAATATACCAGATTTTCCCAATGTGCCACATCTTGGAAAAGACCCGTGAAAAGATGATCGATACACACCACCTTTCGGCTATCTTGGAACCACGACCAAAAAAATATCAAACTCTACAAGTTCCTCATTCTCGTCCTGCTATATAGTGCGGAGGCGTTGACAATGACATCATCTGATGTGTCGGTCTTAGGAGTGTTCGAGAGTAAGATTTTGCTGAAATTGCTTTGCGCATTGGCAACGGCGAGTATCACAGTCGAAGGAACGATTAGCTTTACGAGATATACGGCGACATGGACATAGTTCAGCGAATCAAGAGACACGGCTGCGCTGGCTTATTCATGTTKTCCGGTTGGGGGAGTACACTCTAGTCTTAAAAGTTTTCGATTCAGTAGCCGCCGGTGGTAGCAGAGATAGAGGAAAAAATCCAATCTGTTGGTGAGGTTAGTTGGGGAAGGACCTGGCTGCATTTGGTATCTCGAAATACCAAGAAGAAATGACTGGCGCGCTATTTTTAATTTGACTAAAACCGCGAAACGACGGTCTCCTTGAGCCATAGCTGGACTTTTGGGCACTATAGAAACATAATGTATATACACAATAAAGAATTCCAATGTTCTCTTAAGTTAAAAACATAAAATCTTGTATTATTTCAAAAGTCTCCTTTTGGTTCTCCAATAAAATTTTAACATCCCGTTAAAAGCAATGATTGTGTAAACAATGCATTRCCACTTTTGTACATATGCTGCTCAGATAAATCTGTTGGTACATATGTAACTGTCGTTTCCTTTGCGATTGGCTTCTTTCCTGCCTGCTTGCGAAGCCTGCTTCGGTCACTTAAGTAGCRCTAGCAGCACTTTCCGAGTATTTGCAGTGGGTATGACGCATATGGTCAAAAGGACGACCAGCCTGTGTGCAAATGCATTTATAATCTGGTCATTAAGTATATATGTATGTATGTTTGTATATATGTATGGGTGTTTAACTTAATATTATATATAGTATCATATGCCCGCATACCCATACAGATGTATGTACGTAAATTGTGGGACTTGTTTAATGGCATAAGTGACACCGCACAACCACAACAACACCAACCGCAAACTAATAAAATGTTGCTATTACAAATATTATTGCTTTTAATACATTTATGCCATGCTTTGCTGTTATTGTTGTCATGAGTGTTGT